GGGGGGGTGACGCTGAGGCAGCCAATGGCAAACCACCTCTGAAATGTCTTTTGCCTTAAAAACAAGTCTAGCTCACCACCTAGTGGTACATCATGCTAAAGGAGCTAGAACTTTTGGCTGCCAGATAAACTTAGGATCTCCTGGCTATACTACACACACTGCCAGATGATGATGATGAGTGCCTCTGAATCTGGAGGTTCCCCTCAGTCACCATGGCTCATAGTCACTGATAGACTTATCCTCCATGAATCTATCTAATCCCCTTTTAAAGCTGTTTATTGCTATGGCCATCACTACAGCCTCTAGCAGCGAATTCTACATTTTAATCACTCTCTGTGTAAAGTATTTCCTTTTGTCCATCCTGAAGTTACTGCCCATCTGATTCATTGGATGCCCTCAAGCTGTAATATTTTGGAAGGAGAAAAAGTTCTCTTTGTCAACTCTTTCCAACCCATGCATAATTTTATAAACCTCTGTCATGCCCCCCTTTAGTCATCAATTTTCTAAACTGAAAAGTCCCAAACTCTTCAGCCTTTCTTCATAGGGAAGGTGCTCTAACCCTCTAATCATCTCGGTTGCCCTCCTCTGCACTTTTTGCAGCTCTGCAATGTCCTTTTTGAGATAGGATGACCAGAACTGTATACAGTATTCCAAATGAGGTCGCACCATAGATCTATACAGAGGTATTACAATATTGGCCATTTTATCCTCCATCCGTTATACAGAGTTTGCCTTTTTCACTGCTGCAGCACACTCGGTAGTGCTTTTGCTGCCAATCAGGCCCTTGCTGGGGAAGGTGTGAGCATCCTGTCTACTGTATGGCTGCCCTTCATGTATGAGGGGGGTGGGGTGGGGGATTGCTCAGGCCACATGCCTCGTTCAGGGTGTGCTGTTGCTGGGTCTTTCCCTGTTCTCCATCTCGAGGGGGTGGCATCAAGGAGCACTGGCAGGATTGATGGGCTGTGATTGGCTGTGCCCATGTATGCCACTCACATGGGGATCATTGGCTGCTGTTGTTCGATTGGTGGTTGTTGCTGGGGTTTGGTAGGGACTCCAACATGCTTTGCCTTATACAGGGATGCATGTTGTTATTTTACCCTGCAGAATGTCCATAGAGAATGAACTTATGGTGCTGTTTTTGTGTCAGCAGCTGGCTGCCATCACTGCAGCAGCCCTCAGGATTGGCCTGCCTTTATAAGTTAGTGTGACATGATGTACACTGGCACAAAAAAATCCTAGCTTCACACATATGCTAATATGATCCAAAATGGTGGTGAATGAACGTATCTTGAGCTCATGACAGATAGCTCAATGAACATGTCAACTCAGAGTGTGGCAACAGGGAAAACTGACAAACTCTGTGGAATGGGTTATCAGCATAGAGACTGAAAATACACGTCAGTATCACAACTCCCTTATATAGTAAGATGTACCCATCTAAAGTGTGGCTGTATTTGGAATAATGCATACAGTTCCAGTCACCTCATCTCTTCACAGAATTAGAAACAATACAGAAAAAGACAAGATCAGGTGGCAAAAGAAACTGCTGTATTAGAAACTGCTACCATTTATGGCATTTCAGTTTTAAAAGGAGGCATATGTTAATATATAAAATGATGCACGGTTCAGATATAGTGAAGAACATTCCCCCCCCCCCCGTTCTATAACACTATAATTGCAAGTGCCAAAACTGGGTTACAGGATAATCAAACCTAATCTAAGGCTAATCTGTCACCTCCATACTTGAGAGAGATGGATGGCAGGAGTCTCAATTAATTATTCTCAGCATTCTACAATTAAGGATACATCAATCTCCAGTTTTTACATATATATTTCCTTCACTGTTTCCCCCCAGAATTGAACTCAAACAAATGGTAACCATATAAACTAAGCTTATTATTCCAGTTTGATCCTTGAATCTGTTAAACATCTTCATTATGCTATATGATATCTTACTGCTCACCCTCTACCTACATGTATGGACTGGTAATTTCCCTTTTTTCTGTCTCTGCCTTGTCTGTAATTGGCCCTTCCTGGCAATTAAGCCCCCCTTCCTATATATAATGGCTGAGGAAATTCTGTTTCACTGTATTTGAAGAAGTGTGCTTGCACATACATACATAGACCTTTATTGGCATAACACAGCAGCAAAGAGAACAATGAAACAAATAGAAAATAAATAGCACGATGTAATAAATTATAACAATGTACACCATGCTTGCACACAAAAGCTTATACTTTGAATAAAACTTTGTTGGTCTTAAAGATGCCACTGGAATCAAACTTTGTTAATCTGTAACTAGTGATTTATGAAAGAAATCTGATCGTTTTGAATGTATACTTGTACAGCAATGCTTTGCTTGTACAAAAGAGAGCTCTGTTTTAATACAGTTAATTATAAATCATTGACAATGCAACTGCAGGTCACTCCTGGGATTGTGCTGCTGTGTTTTACTTGGTACTACTAGGAAGGTCCTACAAGGTGATGATGGTTATTTGCTATGTCCCCTGTGATCTTTGCTATCATAGAGTGCTATCTTGCTTCATTTCTTTTCAACATGTTGAGAAGATTTGTGGAGTTTTGTGCAATAAGGGTGACACCAAGCTATTACTTTCCCATCAAATACTTCCTCAACATCTGGTTGTGATTGGTGAAACTACTGAAGCTGAATGCTGTAAGACCTTTAAAGATAATCATCAGCTCCAGCGTCCATTGGAGGTGGTGGTCAGGAACACCCATCAAAGAGCAGCAAGAAGGCTGAGATTCCTTTTCTTTGATATAGATCTGAATTGCCCCAACCTGGAGAAGACCCTGATGCTGCAAGTAATTGAAGGAAAAAGAAAAAGGGGATGGCAAAGGATGAGATAGTTAGACAGTGTTATCGATGCAACAAACATGAAATTGAGCAAACTCCAGAGAATGGTGGAACACAGGAGGGCCTGGAGTGATCTGGTCCATGGGGTCGCAAAGAGTCGGACTCAACTGTGCAACTGAAGAACTACAACAAACCTGGATGGCCCAGACTAATCCTGTCTCATCAAATCTGAGAAGCTTAGCAGGGTCAGACCTGGTTAGTATCTGGATGGGAGAACACCAAGGAATCCCAGGATCACTTAGTAGAGACAGGCAATGGCAAATCACCTCTGTTAGTCTCTTGTCTCTTGCCTTGAAAATGGGGTTCAATGTGGCCAAGTGCAAGGTGATGCACATTGGAGCCAAAAATCCTAAATATAAATACACGTTGATGGGGTCTGAACTGGCAGAGACTGATCAAGAGAGAGATCTTGGTTGTAGTAGATAACTCACTGAAAATGTCGAGACAGTGTGTGACTGCAATAAAGAAGGCCAATGCTATGCTGGGGATTATGCACAGGGAGCGGTGGCGCAGGTAGTTAAATGCCTGCCTTGTAACATCATTCGAACAGCCACTATGGCTGTTCGAGTACCACCGTGGTCGAGGTGAGCTCTCGACCTTCGTCCCAGCTCCCGCCCACCCAGCGGTTCGAAAAGCAACTTAATTGCAAGTAGATAAATGGGTACCCACCCTTAGATGGGTGGGGGGCACCCTGTATGGCGGCTGGAAGAGCTTGTCAAGGATGGGCGAGTGGGCGTCAACATGGCAAATGGGGTTCAATGTGGCCAAGTGCAAGGTGATGCACATTGGAGCCAAAAATCCTAACTATAAATACACGTTGATGGGGTCTGAACTGGCAGAGACTGATCAAGAGAGAGATCTTGGAGTTGTAGTAGATAACTCACTGAAGATGTCGAGACAGTGTGTGACTGCAATAAAGAAGGCCAATGCTATGCTGGGGATTATTAGGAAGGGTATTGTAAACAGATCAGCCAATATCATAATGCCGCTATATAAATCAATGGTGCGACCTCATCTGGAATACTGTATGCAATTCTGGTCACCACACCTTAAAAAGGATATTATAGCTTTGGAAAAAGTGCAGAAAAGGGCAACTCGAATGATAAAAGGGTTGGAACACTTTCCCTATGAGGAAAGGTTAAGGCGCTTAGGGCTCTTTAGCGTGGAGAAACGACGACTGATTGAGGTTTACAAATTTCCTTAGGTTTAAAAATTCAATAATTCCTTATAATATATATTAGAGGAGACAATTTCCTTATCTTGCAAAAAATTAACAATAGAACAAATTGCTTGAAAAATTTTACAATAAACTTTGAAATTCTGAATACATGTAGAATAATCTATTTTACCCAGCATAAAGTGATTCCAAATAGAGTCATACCAATTTCGTACTGAAGGCCCTTTCTTCTGTTTCCATTTCTTAGCAATCTCTAACATCGCAATTGAGTTGTTATTGTAACCAACTTGATTTTATCTACTTGTTCTATTAAGCCAATTTCAAAAAGAATATTTTCTGGATTTTTGGGGATCTGTTGACCAACTATTATCTCAATTTGAAATAATACTTTATTCTAAAACCTTTGAATAAAGGGACACAACCAAAAACAATGCATGAAATCTCCCATTGAGCCACATCCTTTCCAACATTTTTTACTCAGATTTTTTGAAAACTTAGCTATTGTCGGAGTTAAATGGCTTCTATGTAAAATCTTAAATGAATTAAAATAGATTGTTGAAATCTTGGAGTTAAAACTTGGGGCCTTCCAGGCTTTTTCAAAATCATCCTTAGTGATTCTACCATCACAATCTGCTATCCATGCTTTTTCGCCTGATAAAAATAGTTCCTTTGTAAAGACAATAATAATGTATATATTTTAGATCGAAGACCTTTCTGACTTCTCTCTCTTTTCTTGGAAAGTAATTCTAGAGTGGTTGGAGGTGTTTCCCAATTTCACATTATACCTAACGATTCTAAAATATGTCTAATTTGATAATAATTTAACCAAGATATTTTTTCCTGCAAAACCGCCTCTATCTGTAGTTTGGAAAGAACTTGGCCATTCAATATAAAGTCCACCAACCTAGCAAAACCTACAGAATACCAAAGTCTAAAAGGAGAATTACCTTGAGCTGGGGGAAACCATACTTGATTGGTATAAGAAGCATATCTAGAGATTAAAAGTAAAAGGTCATTTCTATAGTTATCCCAGATTTTCAAAGAGACATTAAGAACTTGATTTTTTTAAATTAAAGGCGTTCTATTTATATGTACATTCCAAAAAGTTTCTAAGATTATACGGTTGTCACAAAAGGCTTCTTCAATATGTTGCCAGCTTGTTTCATTTTCTGGGTTTGCCATAATGACTCTAAAGAGTGTAGTAAAATTCGCAGCTTCATAATAGAGCCGCAGATTTGGAAAATTTAGACCTCCCTGTGTTTTAGAACTAGAGATCACTTTAAATTTAATTCTCGGGGAATTATAGGACCAGAAAATTTTTGTCAATGAGAATTGCCATTTAGATATCAATTTACTAGGAATAGGTATAGGCACAGCTCAAAATAAAAACAAACTCTTAATTATTTGTAATCTATCAATTTGTGAAAATCTTTGTTTATGTAAATATTTTAATTGACTTTTGATTTCTTTATAAAGGGCTTCAAAGTTAACATGGATGAAATCACTAAGGTCAAGTTTGGCTGGAATTTGAACCCCAAGATATCTCCATATGACTTCCTTCCAAGAAAATGGGAACTGGGAACCTAGTTGGTTTTTTGTTTCTCTAAGAATGTTAATAGGAACCATGAAAGACTTATTTACATTAATCTTCAGGCCAGAGAAAACATAAAATTGAGTCCATAGTTCTAAAGCCTTGAGTTCACAAGAAACTCCAAAGTTGTTACTGACCGTAATTTCTAGAGCTAATTTAAAGTGTCTCTAGCCACACAATAGCACAGTAAAAATAAAATGGAAGAGAAGAGAACAATGTACACCATTTTAGATCCCTACTGGGATAAGGGCAAGATATAAATTAAGTAAACAAAGGAACAAAATACACAGAATGACATACATAGAAAGGCAAAGGCTGCCCCATAATAGAGAAATATTTTGGATTTCCCCAAATCTTGAGGATCTTTTGGAACTGTACTACACAGTAAGGATTGAATAGGTTAGAAATTATTTTTAATCTCTGGCATATTTAATTATCCACTATATCAACTCGATATAGTTCAATGCATCATCAACAATTTACAACCCCTACTAGATTATGACAGTTCTCTTTCTCAAGTACTGGGGGGCAGGCCTTTTCTTGCACAGAGACCCCAATCTCAAACAACTCCTCACCCACAATGATACAACATCTAACTTGAACATGGACACTGGTACCAGAGCTTGTAATAAACCCAGATGCCAACTTTGCTGCCACATACACCCAGACAACACCGATCACTGAATCTAACAACGGCCCTGTTCACACGAGGGGTTTTGGGCCGGGAGAGGGACGGATCAGGGCCGCAGCAAACGGGCGCGATCCCACAGCAGCATCTGGGAATCGTGCTGCGCCCGTCCCCCATCCGTCCCTTCCGTTGAAAAAGCGCACCAAAAAAGAACCACCTAACCGGGTGGTTCAATCGAAAGGGCCGCGGCAAGTGCGGCCGTGGGATCGGCGGCGCGTCCTTGCGCCGGCGCATCCCTGGCTCCCGGCCGAACTGCGCATGCTCAAGCACGCGCAGTTTGGCAGCCTCCCCCTCTCACTCGTCTCTTCCTCCTCGACATCTGATCGTGCCGGGGAGCAACGGCGTGCGGCTCACGGGATCCGTGGGATCCCGCCCGCAGCGTCTCTATTTTGGTGCGGCTCTAATTAGCCGCACTTTAACCGGTGTTTTCCCTGCCGTGTGGCAGGGGGCCAACATCAACTAAACCATCTCAGGCTCATTTACTTGCTCATCTTCTAACATTGTATATGCCACTAAATGCCTTTGGTTCTCTACACAGAGCAAACAGGTCAAACCCTGGATAAATGTACACAAAGGATAAATGTACACAAATCTGACATCAAGAATCACAGGACTGAGAAACCTGTAGGGGAACACTTCAGCCTTCCAGGACATTCAATGGGTGACTTCAAAGTACCTGTTTTATTGCAAAGGAACTTCAGGAACAGACTAGAAAGGAAAATTGCTGAGTTACAAGTTATTACAACACTCAGAACAATGGCACCCCCAAGACTTAACATGGATATTGGGGTTTTTTTTATCTCACTACATATGCTAACCTCATTAAGTTCTCACACCTGTATTCTCACCAATCCCCCAGAACTGCTATACATCCTCTTTATTTAATTTCTCATTTGGAATAGTAGATTGTAATGTAATGCAATGAATAGTAGAATGTAATGTTATTTGGAATGTAGTTCTCTGATCTGGGGACAGAGGAGATAAACTGCAAAGCCAGTCACCCCACCTTAAAGAAGAGGATGCTGTAAGGTCATCTCTGCGCTTGAGAGGAAAGAAATGGAGCGTAATGGCAGTTACTCAGTTAATTATTCTCAACATTCCACAATTAAGAAGGGTACATCTGCCCATCTATCTCCGATTTTGATATATTTATTTCCTTCACTATGTTTTCCCTGGAATTAAACCCAAACAAATGGTAACCATATAAACTAAACTTGTTTTTCCTGTTTGGTCCTTGAATCTGTTAAACATCTTCATTATGCTCAGTGCTCCCTCTTAGCTGTGGAGTCTTGTGAGCAAAAAATCTACTTTGTGAGCTACTGGCATTAAAGTTGTGAGCAAGTGATTTGGCTACTGTATAAAATAGTTTGCTCTGGAACCATCCTTCCCGAGCCAAGACAAAAATCTGTGAACTGGAGACTAAAAAACTGTGAGCTAGCTCATATTAACTCAGCTTAGAGGGAACACTGATTATGTTGTATGCTAATTTGCTGCTTACCCTTTACCTATATGTATGGACTGGTAACTTCCATTTCATTGTATCTGAAGAAGTGTGCATGCACATGGAAGCTTATACCCGGAATAAAACTTTGTTGGTCTTAAAGGTGTCACTGGACTTGAACGTTGTTCTACTTCATCTTTAACATGTTTGTTCTACATCAGTGTGGTATATGGAGATGCTGGATGGAAAATGTTCCAAAATGGAAAATTTTCCAGTGGTTAGTTTTTCTGTGGAAAATTTTCCATTTCTAAAGATTCATTGTCTCAAAACAACAACAACAATGAATGGATGTCACTGCCAATAGAATGTTAGGCACACTCATCAATTTCAAAGTTAAAATGTGTGTTTTTCTGGTGGTGACCCCTAGGAATTGTAAAAGGGAGTACATGCATCATTTATTGAATTGTTAATGGGGGAAGATTTAAATAAACCTGCAAACATATGATAATACAAATTTTTAAAAAGCAAGGTATGAATTCACTTGATTGGCTGTACAGGCCAAATTAAATCCAAAGCTAAAATTCTTATTTAGACATCTTCTCTCACATGGTGGAAGTATTATTCAGTGCAATTGTGAGACCACTTTCCTGGGAGTAGGCTCCACTGAATATACTTAATTAGACCTGTTTAGGATTGTTCTCATTGCAATCACCAATTTGATATAGAATCAGGAAGTGATACTAAAGGGTGTAACAGTGAAATTGATAACACTCCACTGACCTCCATGGAACAGAGTTAAATTTTATTGAAATAGATTAATGGTCCATCACATCCACAGCACATTATGCACAGTACTTTGGGTATGCTAAAACTGGTATGTCAACATTTTCCAGTGCCTTCAGGTGGTCTTAAATATAAATAATGTAACAGATTATACTGCCTTAAAAAATTTACTAGTATTATTGCATTAAAAATAATTTCTACACAAATGTGTTTGGATATAATATATCATCCACACTTGCTTTATTTTCCCCCTAAACAAATATTTTTGTTACAGTAGTTGTTCCAAATGGAACATAAAATTAAAACAGGGTACATTTTGCATTTTGTCCACCAAGCACCTATCAAAATAAACATACTAAATCAAATAGTACTGTATTATGGCAACAGAAAAAATTGCAAACTGAGTTTTTTCTAGCAAAACCACATCATTGGTGGCCTGTAATGGCTAGTGTGTATGACAGAGAGACTCAAGCTCCAGTCTCCACTTTCCCATAATGCTCACTGGGTATCTTTGGGCCTACCACAACAGTCACAACAAAAAATCTGGAGTGCTCGTATTGGCACCATATTCTAATAAGAGGGTGGTGCATACCCACCACATTGGGCCTCCTTTTTTAGGGCTCTCCCAAAACAAACACTATTACCACACTGAAGAACCATTCAACAGATTTTAAAACTAAGCACTCTTGGTTCAAAAGAAACAGGGAGGGGGAGGAGAAAGAATACCTCTTGCTTTCTGGACAAAGTTATAAATGGATATACCACTAAGACAACTGACAATACATTAAGATGGGTAGCGGTGTTTGTCTGTAGCAGTAGAAAAGAGTAAGATTCCAGTAGCACCTTTAAGACTAACAAAATTTGTGGTAGGATATGAGATTAGAAAGAGAGACTGCTGAATTGCAAGTGATAACAAATGCATCCACCTGGACTGAATCAAGATTGAGGTTTCCAGTCTCATTACCAATGCTGATTTCTCCACGCCTACTACCTCTCTGCATATCACACCTAATCCAATCACACCTTCTATTGTCATTTGCCCACTAATGTCATTTGGATTTGAAATCACTCCACTTTCCAATATATAGGACAGATGAACTCACATTCTAGCTCTATCTGAAGAAGTGAGCAGTGATGCTGAAAGCTCCAACCCTACCACAAATTTTGTTAGTCTTTAAGGTGCTACTGGACTCTTTTCTACTACAGCTGACAATATAATAATTAGACAAAGGTATGTTCCACTTCGTACTGGGAAGAGCCAAAATTCTGACAAGGCACTCTGGAGATCTTGCCACGTCCCTGAGGGTGAGGCATGACTTCAGGGACATATTGGCCCCTTACTTTACCTGGGGAAGTCTTGGCAGGCTACTGACATGGAGGGGCCCAGAGCATGAGTACAAGGAGTCCCAAACGTAAAGAAGAGCATGATTAAGACAGTGCCGGCTTCGCCCTACCATTCTCTTCCCATAATTGGCCAGCTGGTGGAATAAAGAGTGCATAAGAACATAAAAAGAACCCTGCTGGATTAGACCAATGGTCCATCTAATCCAGGGGTGGCCAAACTGTGGCTCAAGAGCCACATGCGACTTTTTCACATATATTGTGCAGCTCCTGGCAGGGTGGCTGGGGAAGCAAAAGGGGGGAAGTGTTCCCATCCCTGGGTATGCTTGAGGTGAGGGGGGAGCAGAGAAAGAAAGCAACTTTAAGTGTCCTCAAAGCCCCCCCCCCCGTTTGGAGAAGGCATTTGTCTCTTTAAATCCCTTCTCCAAGTCAAGCCAGCCAGCGTGGGGGTGGAGTGAGGCTGAAGGACAAATTTAAAGTTAAAGTTGCTTTCTTTCCACCTCTCCCTCCCTCCATCCCCCCACCTATTTGCTTTCTTTGTTTTGCTCTCTCCCCCTCCCTCTATTTGCTTTCTTTCCACCTTTCTTTCTCTTTCTCCCTTTCTTTGTTTCTTCTTCTCCCTTCCTCCCCCCCCCTCCCCAACTATTTGCTTTCTTTGTTTCTCTCCCCCCCACCTCTTTCATTCTTTCCACCTCTCTCTCATCTCTCTCTTAGACAAATAAATATCATTAGCAAACAAATATCACTGGACAAATAAATATCATCAATATCTTGTTTTTACCCCTTTTGCTTCTATTTTTGGCAGTCTCATTTAAAGTTAATTTAAAAAAAAATATTTTGCATATTTTTCAATACAAACGTGTGTGTGATATTTGTTCCTGTCTTGCGGCTCTCAAACATCTGACGTTTCTTCTATGTGGCTCTTACCCTAAATTTGGCCACCCCTGATCTAATCCAGCATCCTGTCTCACACAGCCGCCAACCAAGTTGAAGTTCGCTAAGCTACCATAATGGCCCCTGGGGGCAGCACAGCCCCCATATATCACAAAATGACACGAGCCCAAGATACGCAACCTCAAGAACGGGCAGGGCCTCTCTACAGCCGTTTCACTCAAAACACCGGCTTTTTGAGTGATCTTGGTAGGTGACGGGCCCGAGAGCGGAACACACCGGGAGCTGAAGAGGACCGCCCAGCCCCAGTTACAATAAAGTAACCCGCCCCTAATCCAATCTTACCTTCGAAGCAACCACACTCCCTGAATCGCACAAAACCTTCACGACACACACTCACCGTGAGACACTAGAGGAGAAATCAATCGCTAAAATAGGCGCTGGGAGTTTGTCAGTCCGCGCACCGAATAGTCCTCCGACGAGGAAACATACGAAAAGGCTCCAATAAACGCTCCTCGTTGTCAGAAACGTTCCGACAGAGGGCTTTGTTTCCTACCCGGCTGAATGGGCTGAAACTCACACAGGAAAAGGGCGGCGGGGGGGGGGGGGGGCCCGGGGGGGGGGGGGGGGGGGGGGAGCCCGGCTAGTGAGAGACGCTGTCGCCATGGCGACCCACTGGCGCTTAGAGCAAGCGGCATTGCCGGGACACGCCGTTAAATGAACGTTTCGAGTCATCTTCTCTTCTTCATCACGAGTCAGTTCTTCGTCCCTGGGAAACCGAGAAGCCCCCCTGCCGCCTATTTACACCCAAGAGCCTCAGCGTAGCCCTTTCTGGGAAGGCACGCCCGCTTGTCTGGTTCTGCCCGCCTGAGCAGCCTGTGTAAGCCGTCAACCTCTGGCCCAGACGCACGAAATCTTTGCCATTTTCATAGATTCAGGTGGGTAGCCGTGTTGGTCTGAAGCAACAGAACGAAGTTTGTGTCCAGTGGCACTTTTAAGGCCAACAAAGTTTGATTCTGGGTACAAGCTTATACCCCAAATTAAACTTCGTTGGTTTTAAAGGTGCCCCTGGACTGAAACTTTGTTCTTTTTCCATATTCAGTTTTGCTCTCCAAATCAAGAACTCCTGTCAAAATTTGGTGAGGGAGAGTGAGTTATCCACATTGTTGAGTCAGGCTTTAGGGATTGTCTTAAATTCTTCGTCACCACTCTAGAGGAAAGAAAGGCAGGGGAGACAATGACATGATCATTCCAGATGAGTGAGAAGTGCTCAATCAAGTAAGGTATGGGAAATGCTTTTCTTTTGCTTGGATTAATTTGACAATATAACACTTTACTAGTGTTTCTTTTTATATTACAGTTGTTTGCAAAGGCTTTGCAGTTGTTGTTATGGTTACCCTCACAGCAACCATATCAGCTGTGTCTCTAATATTCATGATGGGGAGCTGATTCTGGAAGGCACTGACTGCAGTGAAACTGCTTTGTACTGACCCACCTACGTCACTGTGCCAGGAGTACTGGAATTCAGCATCTTCCTGAGATCAGTTTCACTCCCAGCTATGTTTGGAGCCAACTGGGCCATTTTTTACGCAAAGCAATCTTGCCAGCTGAGTCTTTTCTGTATCTTTTTTGGCTCACACCATTTTGCAAAATGGAAAGAATGTTTCCATTGTTAAACAAGCATTCCTGAAGAGACATGTCTCTGATTCAAAAAATGTCTTGCATCATCATATGAGGCATGTATAGAGTATGTCTTGTAGCTGTTTTGTGCCCCGGAAGTTTAATTCCTTTTTGCTGTACTCCTGAAAGTTTCACTTGACTTGATTTGACACATTCACTCAATAGGCCCAATAAAGTTACAAATTCATCCAGTTAAGTTCCTAAACTGCCAGATCTATCATTCATGAGGGCCTGCACAGCCCTTACCTTGTTCTAGAGGCACTTTTCTAGGTTTCTGGTTCCCCAAATCTACCCTTATGAGTTGGGGGACTGTTGCACTGGCTTGCAGTCATTCAGCAAGCTTCCATGGCAGAGCAGGGATTCGAACCTGCCCCCCCAGGTCCTAGACTCATAGTAACCACTATACAATAATATGTGCACAGAATAAACTTGTTAGAATTTGATTCCAGCCTTGAGATACCTCCTTACACTCTTTTCCCCCATGGGCCAGCTGCTTAGTTTATTCTATTGTTCATATAGGAAAGGCTGAAGAAGGGAAGACAGTAGCCATTCTGCAGACAAGGAACTTCTTTGGTACTCTCTCCTGGGGAAGAAAAGGGTCTTTCTGTGTCACACGTGTACACACACTGACCACTAGGATTTGAGAAAGTTTTGGGTCATCCAGTCAGGGACACAAAGAATTAACCCCTCTAATATTGGCAGGCCTACCTAAAAACAGAGCATCCAAACGTACTTGGAGTTATGCACAAAGCTTTGCGAGATACATACTTCCAACAATGGGTCCCAGGCCCCAGTCATATTTGTTGTAGGACAAAATTTATGCATTTGCTTGGCTCTGTGCTTTAGCTCTATTTATTTATTTGCTGTTGATATGCAGCCAATTTATGGCAACCCTGTTGGTTTTTCAAAACAAGAGACATTCAGAGGTGGTCTGCCATTGCCTGCCTCTGCATTGTGACCCTGGTATTCCTTGGTGGTCTCCCATCCAAATACTAGCCAGGGTCAACCCTGCTTATCTTCAGAGATCTGAGAAGATTAGCTTACCTGGGCTATCCAGGCCAGGGCATCAAGAACATACTGTAAGCCTAACTACTACAAGCTTAAAATGAAGTGATGTGGAAGAATGCACTCACGTTCAGAACTGGGCTCTACAAGGTAAAAAGGTAAAGGTTCCCTTGTTCGAAAGCCAGTCGAATCCGACTCTAGGGTTGCGGTGCTCATCTCCGTTTCAAAGCCGAAGAGCCAGCGCTGTCCGAAGACGTTTCCGTGGTCATGTGGCCGGCATGACAAAACACCAAGGCGCACGGAACGCTGTTACCTTCCCACCGAAGTGGTCCCTATTTATCTACTTGCAATTTCTTGCTTTCGAACTGCTAGGTTGGCAGGAGCTGGTACTAGAGACAGGAGCTCACCCTGTCTTGCGGCACCCAGGTCTTGAACCGCTGAACTACTGACCTTCCACAGCCTGCAGTTCAGCGACTTAACCACTTGAGCCACCGCAGCTCCATGGGCTCTACAAAGCAAGGTGTTATTCTACAAATGCACTCCCAGAAAATAGCTACTTTTTTATCATGGACTTTCTTGTACACAGAAGTCTTTCTCCATGTATAGCTGAAATGGAAGAGACAATCACTGCTTTTAGTAGATTTTGGAAGAAAAAATTCTCTAAAAAGGTAATAGCCTGGATTCACATTGATTTAGAAATTGAAGTTTTGGATCCTGTAAAACATTTTCATAGATGGAAGAGTTTCTGACCACAGAACATGACTTTCTTTCCTCCCCCTCCTTCTATAGCCCACTATAAGGCTGAGAGAATGTGAGTGGCCCTAAGGTCAAACATCAAGTGGGAATTTGAATCCTAGTATCCCACGTTCTAAACTTGATAGAATTAATTTTAGCAGTTTGTTGATGCAATATAATTTAAGTACCATAAATTATTCAATAAAAATAAGTGAAGAACAAAAATTTAAGTTTCAGTATTTTAATTGACAGTAATTCTTAAGTCAAGCATAAAATTGGAGCGAAACTTCTTTATGGGGTGCCCATTTGGATCACTGCTTTTAACAAAATGGTAGAACAACTTCAATCCAACTTTGTGAGGAAATAATTAGGGCTGCCTCTGTGTGTTTCTTATGCTGCCATTTGTTTGGAAGCCAATTTGATACGCTTGGAAACAAGGGCTTGGATACTTACTTTCAGATTTTGGTTACATCTGCATTTCAGGAGCTGCCCCAATAGCCTTATTCCATATCTGCTGAAAGAGTCTTATTGTTCTAAGTGGTTTGCTGCTATAGAAAGGAAAATCGTTTCAATAGGCATATGCCTGAATGATATGATTTCCTTATCTGAAATATACATCTTTGCTCTGTGCAAACAGAGATTAATTGATATTGAAATGCAAGAGCTTAGAGCTTTGGCTTCTGGTAGATGTTCTCCTTTAAGATGGGCATATTTTCCGATCAACACCCCAGCACAATACTTATCGGATCTGACTTCCCCAAAGCTGCATAGAGCATTTATGCTGGCCCGTTTTAATGTGCTCCCGTCTGCGGTTTTAGCAGGAAGATTTAAGAAAATCCCCTACTCTGTAAGGTTCTGTGATTGTGGTTCAGAGGAGATTGAAACAATCGAACATGTATTTCTCTATTGTACTTTGTATGAGGACATTCGGGCAGCCTATTTAGAAGATATTCTTAAGAATGATGCCAAGCAATCCGATGACAGAATGTTGTATCGTTTACTGGCTTCACATAACATAGAGGTTATTGAAGCGGTTGCTAAGTTTTGTAACAGCCTTATAATGAGGAAGATGTGTGTTAAACCCATGAACTGAATGGCGATTGTGTATGATTCTGATCTATGCCAATAAAGGTTTTTATCTGAACTGAAGTCAAGAAGAATTACTGTAAATTAAAATACTGAGACTTTTAAATTTAAAATGGCCTAATCGTTTTTTGAGCTTCGAAATTATAATAGTTACAAGTAAGGGGACCCGCGATACTTGCGAGGGGGGGAGAAGAGCTCCACGCAGAGGAGGAGGAGGAGTCAGCAGCAGCAGGTAAGCCTCGCTGATCTCCTCTTCCCCTCCCCTCGGTCTCCTCCACCCCACCCAGGGCTGGCTCCACGTGCTTCTGCGCCCTAGGCAGGTGCAGATGCCAACCTCCCGGTGGGGCCTGGGGACCCTTTTGCTGCCGCCACCTCCCCCCAGGGGGGAGGGGGAGGGCAGGTAAGCTGCGGCGCGGGTCTGGCTCGGTGGCGCCTATATCCAGAGACCTCCACTTAGACCTGGGGGGGGAGAGAAGAAGAAGAAGAGGAGTTCCAGGGAAACCTGCGGGCCACTCGCACCCTGCTCGAGGAGCAGCAGGCCTCTCTCCCTTGGTGGTCTCCCATCCAAATACGAACCAGGGGCAACTCCGGTTCACTTCCGACTGTGGCAGCTCACTAGGGACTCAGGCAAGAAAACACATTTTCCATCTACCGAATACCGGAGACGTTTTAACTAGTGATGGCAGGGAGTAAACCATGGGAGAGCAGGTGCTTTCTCAATGAGCTGTGGCCCCACTGCTTTCAAGAGAACATACGGACCTGCCTCAG